GTTTATTATTATCATACCACTGTCTGTCATGAAACACCATCAAACCAACATGTTGCAGACAGCACTGTCTGGACATGGATAAGATCAATTCCATTTAGAAATGTAGACTGTCCACATCAATGTTCTGTGGAATGTATCTTTAGATCACAACTTATAAATGTTTGTATGAAATGTGTAACCATTTCCACTGTGGACTAACTACAGATTCTATTCTATTGACATTGTTTCTGTACTCACTTATATTTCAACAAGACTCAAACCTAGTCCCCTGACCTTTTCCTGAATACTTATTTTGACTTTATCGGCCAAGGTTTACTACGTCAGTGGGAAAACCCTCCTGAAGTGTCCCAGTGTTCCTGTGTTTCTGATGGAACTGATAGACATAGTGTCTTGAGTCCATTCTCCTCAAGCGGGGCTGTTTCCTGGCTATTAAACTGCAGTGACTTGGGATGCTTTCTTAGATTGAAACATAATATTAACATGGGCGGCTGGTAGGGTTGCTGGTTCGAATCTCCGAGCCGACTAGATGAAAAATCTGTTGATGTGCCCTTGAGCAAGTCACTCAACCCTAATTACTCCTGTATGTTAAAAAAAGTAAGATAATAGTAAACATAAATATACAAGGTTACTACACATACTGTAGTAAATATTCAGCTTTGGAGATGCAGTAAGAGATGATCAGTACTGTAGAGTCAGCGGGACAACAGGTGATGGACATTAATGCCATTGTGGATGCTACAAAGAGTTCAACAGTCAAAACTGAGTTTCACAACATGAAACATGCTTTCTCGACAACCAACAATCATATTTTTTGGACTGGGCTTTTATTTAAAAAATGATCACATCGATATGTTAACTTTTTTTTTTTTTTTTCAGTTTGTGTGTGTGTGTGTGCGTGCGTTTGTGAGAAAAGATTGAGATGCTTTTCTTATGAATCAAGTGAATGCAATATCATTGACCACATGCATGAAATAGTTTACCATTACCAGATATGACGATGATTAATGACAAAATAAGTGTAGATATCAAAGACCAAAGTGAATGCTGTGGTGGCTTAAATTTACAACACCAGTCTAGACATGCTGACACGATGACTGTGGTGGCTTAAATTTACAACACCAGTCTAGACATGCTGAGACGATGACTGTTTGTTTTGCCCTAAAATGTTACACCTAAATGAGAGGGAAAGACATTGTAAGTACATTTGTACAGTATCTATATAGTAAATAAATAGTAAATAATCACTTCAGACGTTTCTTTCTTTCTTTTTAATTATTAGATGCATTGTTAATCCATCACCAATTTACTTAAAACACGTAAATCCCGTTATTATTTTTTTATATTTCATGCACTCAAAAATCAAATGTATTAATAATTCAAATTTTGTTTTTAGATTTGTCTTAGAATATTGACAAAATAATACTAGACAATTTCATTTTCAGCATGTTTCATGCTGCTCCATACATTTTAGACAGGTATTTCATCACTAGTAAGCTTTCTTTGAGCAAACAAATATGTGACAGCAAACAAATGTATGGGACAATGCACTAAAAAACTTGTATTATGTACCAGTATTGTTTACCTTTTGCATATGATCCACACCGAATTGTGAGTAAGAAATACAGTACAACTTATTTTGTTTGGACCAGCAGGTCTCCCAGTTTACTTTCCTTTGCTCTTCACGGTCTGGGTTTTCTCTGTTTTCTTCCTATCTGCATGGGACATTTTCTCTGTTTTCTTTTTATCTTGTTGAGGTGTGTTTCCCGCTCTCTTTGAGTCTGGTTCATGTCTGTTCTCTATCTTTGTGTTCCCTGGATGGGGCATTGTCTTCTTGGACCTTCGTTTGAGTAGCACTCTGACAAAGGAGAACAGAGCCCCTACAGAGCCCAGTGGGATGGTTAGTAGTAAGGCCACCACATCCAGGCTGTAGTAGGAGTACCATGGCATGCTGTAGGCCTCAGTACGGAGGTGGGACGCTCCTTTGTTCCTGATCACATACTCAACCCAGAAGGCTGCACGATCCAGTGGATGTAAAGGCTGGTCTCTGTGTAGGCTGGAAAGTCTCTTCATGCTGCGCTGGTAAGAGGGGTTCTTTAGGATGTCCTGCAACGCCTCCAGGAACTCCCATTCCGTGAGTGTGGCTGCATCCAGCACCTGGGCCGCTCCCCTGGCTTGCAGACGCACCAGGTTGTCCTGCTGGTCAAACAGCAGAGGCAGGCCCAGCACAGGGACACCATGGTAGATGGCCTCATAGACACTGTTGGTGCCTCCGTGGACCACGAAGGCGCGGGTCTTTGGGTGGCCCAGGAGGTCGTTCTGGGGGAGCCAGTCCAGCAGCAGTGTGTTGTTCCCTAGAGAGGATGGTATTTTTCCCATTAACTTCCATACCACCTTCTGTGGCAGTTGGGCGAAGGCGGCAGCGACAGCCTCAGTCACCTCCTCAGGCAGAGCAGAGATCAGGGTGCCCAGGGACATCACCACCACTCCATGCTCCCCAGAGCTCTGCATGAAGGCCTCCAGCTTCCCAGGCAGTGGCTTAGCCGGTCGGCACTGGAACCCCCCTATGTAGGCGACATTAGGCATAGTGGGCCGCGGGAACTCAAATACAAAGTCCACCCTCATCAGCCACATGTCAGCTGACTGCTGCATGGCCAGCAGGTCAGTCCCTGGGGGGAAATGCTGATCCAGTATGTCACTGTAAATGGGTAGCACCAACAGGCGCTCCTGGAGGAGGTTGATTATGTAATGTATGAGGTTCTGTGTCCTCTGGAGGAAACCCATGTTGTCAGTGAGCCCAGACCCTGGTACAGGCACATAAGAGATAGGAGAGGGGGCTATGGAGAAATGGCCCTCTCCAAAGCTCATCCAGCGCACATTGTAGACCATGGGCAGGTTGAGGAAATGCGCTAAGATGATACCAGCAGGAATGCCGGGGTCTGTGAGCATGAGATCAAAGCTTGAGTCCTTGAGCTCTGCCATCAGGGCCCAGTCCTCCAGCATAATGGAGAGCATGGTGCGGGTGGCGCTGTGGGCAGCTCTCAGAATGGACACCAGCTCTCTGATCTGGACCAGGTTGCCCACCACCCAACCTTTCCTGCGGCCCTCCAGGACATTACGCATCGCCTGCTCAAAAAAGTTCAGGTCGAACGCTGTAACCCCCAGTTTCACTGTGACTGAGGTGTAGTGTGGAGAACGCTCCCTGATGAACCAGCTGTCAGCCTGTCGTATCACAGTCATCTGGTGGCCACGCCCATGGAGTTCCTTCACCAGAACCTCCATGTTGACCCAGTGGCTGCCGTCTATAGGGAACACCAGGATCCTGCTGCCATGGCAACCAGGGGGCAGTGTGAGGAGGAGGAGCAACAACGGCAGGAGGAGCCACACAAAGGTGGGCAGAACCAGAGCTCTCAGCACACGCTCAGACATTTCTCTCACCTTCACAGAAACAAGAGCATTGTCATGGGAAACGGAAATGGCAAACAACTACACAAAATGGTATCCATTTTTATAATAGCAACAAAAAACAAATTAATATAAGAAATACATGCAATGCAGAGTTTAGATTAATGTACAGTACAATTACAGTAAGCTTTTAATGAGTCGTAACTTTTGATATCTTTCCCACAAATGAGAGCTTACTGTATTTTTAATTTGAATTTTGTGATGATTAGAGTTTTATTCATGTGCTGTGTGATATTGTCTGATTGAGGCTGGTGAGGAATAAATATTAGCCACTACGAGCTCAGAGGAGACAAAATAATTGTATTTTTAATCCAACATAATCTCAATGATATGTCTGACATTCATTTTACTCTGCGTATCATGCCCTCTTTAAAATGAGAAAGAGTATCAGACAGAGGGCAAAGTAGAGGCTAGATAATATAAGACTATGCAATTTGTATAGTCTATCAAAATGTATATTATCGGACTCCATAAAGATTAATAGCAATGTGCCGGTAAGTATTAGGCTATGAGTTGACTAGCAAGAAGAGTGTTGTTAAGAGTGATTTTTGGGGCTGGGCCGGCCTACAAACTGAAGAGCTGAGCCATCCAGAATACACTGAATGTTATCTTTCATTAACAGAGTATAAAATCTGTGATTTCGTACCTTGATGAAGGGTGATGTAAGGTATATATGGTCGTGCAACCTCCCTCTCTCTCCCGATATCTCCTCTTGTAGTCAAGGTCCTCTGGTCAAAATGCCCCTTCAGTCCAAACTGCAGCTAGAGCGAGAAAGATGTAGTGTCCATATAAACACAAACTCACATTTTGGAGACCAGGAGGGAACACCCTAACATTGCTAAAAAATCATCCTAGTGTGTTCCACAGCTCTGGTGGGAGAGGAAATGGAGGAGAGGGAGTTTGAGTTAACACAGCTATTGTTCTCCATTTAGAACTACAGTCTAATCCCTCATTGGGTAATAGACCCTATAAACTGGCAAAACCCTAGATCCCTCTCTGAGTGTGAGCCCTTACTCCCCAGCATATTAGATGAAAATACGAACACTTTCACCAACGTGAGGTTTTGCATAGTGCTTAACAATTACTGCCTAAAATTTTATGTAAACATGTTTCTCATTGACAACTTTTTCATGTAAATTGATCCTGTAGACAGTCTTTTCTATTAGAATAAGATGTTTAATTATACATGAAGTAACATTCCAATAGAAGAGAAACTCAATATAAATGACTTTATTACATCTCAAGACAATGAGCAGTGGACATTACCATCAAATAGACCTCAGACTATAAACCATATACAAACACATTTTCATCAATCTAATTAATTCATTGACTGTGACCATTACAGCAAGGTCAGCTATCAGAAAGTGATTAAATGAAACAGCAAACCTCAGTGTTTGGATGGTTGGGTGGAGACAGTGGTGGTCACCATATGGTTAGACATGTCAGGGGTATCATGACAGCAGGGTTACAGGCATTAGGAGCAGAATCCATCATTTGTGGAGGGCCTGCCATGGCATGTTGGTCAGATGCCATCTTCATATGAGCCCTCCGGCCATGTCAGGGGGCCCTGCCATCATACCAGGTTGCATCTCAGCCATGCTGGAGGACTGTGGGCTGGTCATGACGTAGCTCTGTTGGTTGGGGGACTGTGGGCCGGTCATGACGTAGCTCTGTTGGTTGGGGGACTGTGGGCTGGTCATGACATAGCTCTGTTGGTTGGGGGACTGTGGGCCGGTCATGACGTAGTATAGTATCTGAAGATTATGCCTTTGTTAAATGTTTTTCATGAAGAAATGGAATGTTGTTTGTGTTAGTAGCAAGAGGGAATGTTTTGGGTGTGACGCCAAATACAACAGACCGGAAGTGTCTTGTAGACAGGGGAGACTGGGGATTGGCCAGAAGAGGGAGTTTCATTGTTTTATAAATAGGGGGGCTTAGGCGAGGAAGACGTCAGAACGGCCATGGCAATCGGGGAGCCGTTCTCCGGGTGTCATGTCACCTGTCATTTATGCTGTAACCTCGTGATTTTATTAAAAGCCTCTAACACGATGCAGCATAAAACGGACTCTTTGTTGACAGCAATAATGACCACCATTCATCAGATACGACATAATGGCGCCCAACGTGGGGCTGGGTTTGCGTCTCTTCCTTGTTTCAGTCAACCGCCGGGCTAACTCGCTCTGAAGCAGGGCCAAAAAATGGTGAGTGTTTTCTTACCGCTTCGGAGTTTGTTAGATTGGATATGACTCGTGTACACTGGAGAGATGTTCCATATGACCTTGCCTCGGTGGTGTTATTGCGGTCGACTGGAGTCTGCTAAAATGTTATTTCATTGGTAACGGGTGACAATGAGGATTTAGAGCATTAAGATAGATTTCATTGGTAACGGGTGACAATGAGGATTTAGAGCATTAAGATAGATTTCATTGGTAACGGGTGACAATGAGGATTTAGAGCATTAAGATAGATTTCATTGGTAACGGGTGACAATGAGGATTTAGAGAAGGCCGATATGCGCATTCTTTAGGGCACCGTGAATCTGGTAAAGACCTCGATGCGAGGCGATTCTTTAGGAATGGGCCATAAAATCCTTGCAACGCGTTCGGTGGTGTAAGGTTAATTCTGGGAATTATAAGCTGGACGGATTATATGCATGTTATATACTCATCGTATGGTTGACGAACTATAATGCATGGGGTAACCTCTCTATGATTATCCAGAACTTACGGCAGCATAAAGTTAGGCGGAGATATTGATAATAATGGACAATGATTTGGCCACGGTGCAGGATATTTATTTGCGTAGTAGGCCGCAGTTAGCTAGAGGCTAATGCTAATGTCAATGCTAAATGGGAGTGTGTTTCATGCTACATGGTGCATCGTGGCTAGAGGCTAATGCTAAATGCTAATTGTGTTGTGTGCTACATGCTAACGTATCCTTAGAGATTCCATTGCGATGGATTAAAGTCTCTTAAATTTGTCTCTGTGTTTAAGTCAGGTTATATGTTTTGTGAGCGCTGTTAAATGTTGTTTGACTATAAGGGGGAAACGGGAGTTACAGCTGGAGTGTTATTCTGTCTGTTTGGGGAGAGAGAGTAGAGAATCTTCCTTCTACGGTGAAAAGGGATTTTTGAATGGCTGTGCGCATGCGTTTAATTTTGCGATACTACACTACAGAAAGGGGGAGTTTATGACACGAGATTAGGACACGTGTTGATTTTACGGGGCTAAAAACTACGACATGAGGTTGGGCTAAGCCTACAAAACAAAATGGTGGCGTAAGGTCATAGGTTTTTTTTTTGGGGGTTTCCTTTCAGGGGTTTAATAGCTACCGAGAAGGAAAGGTGGACACGAATCTTTTAAAATCGTTAAAGTAACTGTTATTTGAACGTTAAACTATTTGTTGAGATGTAGTAAATTTATAAATTAAATATATGTTGACGAAGTATAATGCATTGAATTGAATGACGGATTAAAATTAAATAAAAATGTTTTTGAGCGATCTATTTAGTTCTGAGTTTAGTCTTAGAGTGAATAATGTAGAACGAATGAATATTGAATGGTTGGAAATACTCAGTGATGGCATTAACTACCAAAAGCTGTTTCTGTGTCTTTGTCCCTTGTCATGAGAGACAGGAGAGAGGGGGAGCGAGGAGATACAGGAAGTGATCACGTGACGCGGCAGAGGATCAAGTCAAAAAAAAAAAAAAAGGTTACTGTTACAAGATATGTGATGTTATGACGATTTTACATAGGCTTGGCAAATGATTCATTAAAAATTGCATTTTGGAAGCTCTGTGTATCACTGGGGTTGGATTACAGATGTGTGGGGAATCGAAGACTGACATTCTTCTGTAAATTTATGATAATTATGGGTTATAGAGCAAGGGGTTACAGGCTTTGTTTATGGGTATTTTAGTCTGAAGATGACTAACTTGCATTTACTTGCATTTGATGGGTTGTGGTAAGATAGCCAACACTAATTGATAAATTGGTGACATAGGAATAAAAATTGATTTATTTGGACTTATTTGGAGTTGTTTATAGGGGAAAAATAGTAATCCTTTAATTAAAGTAGGGTTAGAAAGTAGTGTTAGGAAAACTAATGGCAGATGTTAGTACACCTTTCTCACATACGGATTCAGCAAAAAGTACAGCTTAGGGAGGTTTATCCTCAGCTTTCATTGATCATCCAGCAGGGTGATTATGGCATCAGAGATGAAGACGAATAATAGATAGAGGACAAGCAGAAACGACGATGAAGATGAATCCAGAACTCCAGAAGGAAGAAAATTAGATGTCTGGAAGAGAAGAGTGAACTTAAAGAAGATGAGGATGATGAAGATGAGAGTGATGATGAAGAGGTCATGCATGGGTGGATATGACTCTGTGATCAGAAGGAAAAGGAGGAAGATTTCAGCTACACTTTCAGCAACTTTCAGAAGACTGTTATAATTGTGGACAGATTGGTACTTTACCTGTGATGAAAATGAGTCGGGAGAAAACAACAGAGGAAGATGAAGTAGCAAGTGAAGATCACCTGTTAGTGTCTAGAAGATCCGGAAGGGGGGTGCATTGCTGAGAGCATCGATTAGAGAAGAAGAGAAAATAGCTAACAGTTGAAACAACCGGCCATTAGAAGTGATAGTGAATAGGGGAAAAACTTATTTGGGTTCAGCCTAAAGAGGTTAAACATCTCACTAACTGATAACGAATTAGGATAGGGATTTGAGGTAGTAAAACAGTTAATTACTCTTAAGGTACTAATCTGGCTGAAAAGTTAAAAGGGGTGACTATTATTCTGGGTTACATTCTTACACTAAGGGATTTCAGGCTAGGCTAAAAGGTGTTTAGACGTTTGCCAAGTCTGTGTGTAATGAGTCAGAAGCAGGTGGGGAACTTTCCCAATCACATATTCTAAACATTTGGTGGTAAGGGATTGTGTGAAAATCAGGGGGAAAAGTTGTAAATGTTATGAGAGAAAAGATTAGATTAAAATAAGTTAGGAGTAGATTAGGGTTGAAGGAACTCTGAGACAGTAAGCTAAGTTTCAAAGTTAGTAGTAAGACAGAGAGAGAAGTGGTGAATGACATTTTTAGAAGTTTAGTGGGAAGATATGGTAGGAGTTTAGATCTGTTAGGAGCCGATGCATTGATAAGAGAAGATTGAGGGTGATTGAGTATCTATAGTTACAGTTCCCAGCAGGAAGATCAAGGTAATTATAGGTGTATTTTGTGTAATCAAAAGTTTGAAAGTCAGGGATTTAGAGAAAGGACTGAGATTTGGGGAAAAAGTGACACTAGTGGTGATAGAGGGAAGTACAAGTAAAGAGTTCAAAGTCTTAGGGGAAAACTGGGGAAATTAGAAGTAACAACAATAAGGACATTAACACTTCAGTCTATTATAACAACAGGGAGAAGCAATTTAACTCTTTCAACATTGATAGGTATTAAAGCCATAAATATATCGCATTTGATTATAAGGGAACGAATACAGCACCAATTTTAGGGGAAAGAATACTTATTAGGGTTAGGATGGGGACGTTCCTCCCATATGGAGAGATAATTATGGAGAATAAGTATTGTTATCAGGATCCGGAGTAGAAGCTGTTGCACCTAGTCAAAGGAGGTATAGTTTGGAAGAGGGTTAGGAGTGATTGTTCACTTATGTTGCGTAATGTTACAGAGAAAGGTCAGGGAGAATATATGTATGCTTATTTAGGGCAAGCATTAGAAGTTGTTCCGGTTAAGGATTATGGGTTAAAGGGCTATGTAATTCGTAAAGTGATGCCTATAATGGAAGATTTGAAATCTGTTGAAGCTTCCGCAGTCACCGAAGGAGTTCAGGAGGAGTAGATTACAGTAGTCACTCTAACAGTAGATAATACACAGAGGATAATGGGAACTTTTGCACTAGAAGTAATTAGGGTTGATACAGCAGCTAAATCAACTACTTTAATGGTAACTTTGGAAGGGATTAGTGATACGATGGCAATAGCAAAAGAGGGAGTATGACATCGACAACAACTTTTCTGAAATTAAATGGGGAATTTTAGACTCATGGGTTATGTTACGGATGGAGAGTGCTGTCAATGATAGTACGAATGGGGTTAAAATAGGAGAACAGATAGTAGTAGAGAGAATATAGATTCATCATGGAGGACAGGATGAGATCTTTGATTTTGATGACAGACAAGGAGAGGTATCTGATCAGTGCCGCTCGTTCTTCTGTTGTGGAAATTAGAGATAGATTAACTCATTCTGTAAGATCAGTGAGGAATCTTGAGGGTCCATGTCTGTTGAGAATTCCAGCACCAAGCATGTTAGACGGTCGCGCGGCCTCTATCAGGTATGGTTCAGTCTTATGCTTTGTCATGACTGTGGTATTAGCAACAGTCATTGACAGATAAAATAATGTCGTTGTCAGAACAGTGGTTTAAGCCTAGGTTTAAGTGTTCTTGGTTAAATGAATTACCCTATGGAAATTGTTAAATGGGAAAGGAAAATTAGGTAACAACGGAACCCTGAAGTATTCAGGTGAAACATTGAGGGCTAAAAGTTGTTTTTGTTCTAATAAAACATATGAGGTAAAGGGTGTGTTTATGGGAAGATCAGATTGGGATGTTATATGATAACTTTGGATAAGCATGACCTTAAGGGTAGTAATGAGAAATATGTTACTTTTTAGGTACCAGGTAGTAAGAAGAGCAGGACTTTGATGGTTAAACGATTAGCTTTTGACTGACAATGTGACTATGGAGAATTTTAGAGATATTTGGTGGGTTTGTGATGATAAAATATATAGTCTTACATTATGAATGGACAGGATTTGGTTACATGTCAACGTTGAAGCTTCCATATGAGGTTTTTACCATTATAAGAGGGATAGCACCGGACACAGCTAAATCTAGGGTTAAAAGGATGAAAAGGGACATGTCATAGGCTTCAAGCCTATCATTGAAGGATAAGTTTAAGGGAGAAGGGGGGACTTTATTCATGGTATGGTGTAACATTTGGGAAGATCATAGTGATAAATATTAGTTATACTTTCAGATAATATCACTGGGGTTAAATAAGGGATGCATTTGGAAGACTTGGTTGCAAGATCAGTTAGGCCCAGTAGGGGCAGTGATGGGTTAGATTTTAGTTTCAGCTTTGATAACACTGTGTGATGTTTGTAATTTGTTACTGACCTTTGAGAAAGCTATGATATTGAGATAGGTTGGAGAGTGATTCCTGGAGACAACACTCAGATGCCGGTGTTGACTGTTCCTGATCTGGAGGAAGATGGATGGACTACTGATGGATAAATATCATTTTTTATGAGTTGATTATTTTTTTAAAAAAATTTTCAATATTGGGGTGATGTTGGTATGATTTATGAATCAAAGGGGGGAATAGGTTTATGTGATTCATGCATCATTTATATATCAGTTTATATTCTTAGTGGATATTGATGTTTAATTTGAAAGGGTTGTTTTGCAAAAGATACTGTTTGGTCGTTTCTTTTCTTTTCATTCCAGAAGCATTTGGGAGAACATGTGGAGATTGAAATACTCAAACAAAGACAATATGAAGGGACAATATGATTGGAGGAGATGAAACAAGGAGGGTGTGGCTGATTTCATCATCAACAATCCATTCATCCAAGTCAAGACTACAGGGAGATGAAGTGTAGTGGACTACATTCCAGTGTCTGCAATGAAATATAGACATGTGTAATACATAATTGTGTAATAGTCTCAGGTATTAATTTTTGTAGAATGATGTTTGATGTTATTGAATACATGTGAGGATCTTAGATGTTTTTGTTTATTTCGGTGAATGTTTAGGGACAGAGAGGCTAGGAAGGGAGAGATTCATTGTACGATCCGATGGGTTGACCAGCCGTACAGTGGATATTTATTGGATAGGATTTTGTTTGCAGGGGCTTACATGTGTATTTAATTGCATCATAGTTTCAAGGACATTTACATGGTTTATGAGGTTATCTGGAGTACCGACGGTGGTTGCCTGGGGCAGAGGGACCGTGAGAGAATTTTACTGTCTTGATTGATGGATGGATATCTGAAAAGATGGCTGCCGGACAGTTTTTCGCTCTTACACTCCATAGAGATTTCTTCATATTTCATAGTAATGTATTTACACTCCATAGAGATTTGTTCATATGTCATAGTAATGTATTCACACTTCATAAACAGTTATTGCATAGAAAGGTATTTACACTCTAGAGAAGAATGTTTTTGGTTTAATGTTAAAGATACTCAATAAGATAAATTGTTACTAGTCATAATCCTATTCTGTTTGTTTTCGAGACGTTTAGTTCGTCTCGAAGGGGGGAATATAGTATCTGAAGATTATGCCTTTGTTAAATGTTTTTCATGAAGAAATGGAATGTTGTTTGTGTTAGTAGCAAGAGGGAATGTTTTGGGTGTGACGCCAAATACAACAGACCGGAAGTGTCTTGTAGACAGGGGAGACTGGGGATTGGCCAGAAGAGGGAGTTTCATTGTTTTATAAATAGGGGGGTTAGGCGAGGAAGACGTCAGAACGGCCATGGCAATCGGGGAGCCGTTCTCCGGGTGTCATGTCACCTGTCATTTATGCTGTAACCTCGTGATTTTATTAAAAGCCTCTAACACGATGCAGCATAAAACGGACTCTTTGTTGACAGCAATAATGACCACCATTCATCAGATACGACAGTAGCTCTGTTGGTTGGGGGACTGTGGGCCGGTCATGACGTAGCTCTGTTGGTTGGGGGACTGTGGGCCGGTCATGACATAGCTCTGTTGGTTGGGGGACTGTGGGCCGGTCATGTTGTAGCTCTGTTGGTTGGGGGACTGTGGGCCGGTCATGACGTTGGTAGTGTAGGAAAAGTTTGAGGTGGTCATGGTTGGAGGCTGCAGTTGGAAGGCCACAGGCTGGGTGGTTATGAAAGTGCAGCCATTCTTGTGCTCTTTGATCTCCCTGGCCATCTGACACCATGAGCACCAGACACAAAAGCAGGACATCAAGATGTCCTCAGAGGCTCCTCTGTGGACCCACACAGACAGATTTGTTTAACACTATCACACACAGAAGTAAACAGAACACACATACTACCCCAATCACAACATACAGTATGTATCTGCAACAATAATATTTATGTAATGTCTATATGTAATGGGAATCATCCCAACTGAATGCCATATTTGTGGCGTGCAGCAACCTACATGGACAGACTTGCGGGTGGCACAATGATGGGCACCCCGAAGGCAACCATGCAAGTAGGGTGTCACGCCCTGGCTCTGGGACTCTGTTATGTTGAGCCAGGGTGTGTAGTTTCTATGTGTCTGTGTTCTAGGTTGTTTATCTAGCTGATGTGTTTTCTATGTTGGCCGGTGTGGTTCTCAATCAGAGGCAACGTGAATCAGCTGTTGATTGTTGTCTCTGATTGGGAACCATACTTAGGCAGCCTGTTTTCCACAGTGTGTTGTGGGATCTTGTTCTGTGTATGGTTAGTGTCTGTTACCTAGGACTTCACGTATCGTTTCTGTTGTTTTGTTTCGGGTAGTGCATCAAATAAAAGTATGTTCACTTATCACGCTGCGCATTGGTCCACTTCTATCGACGATCGTGACATAGGGCCAATTATGTCCATTAAGGGCAGATAGTTACTCTCTCCAAACACTCCCGTGGTGGAGCTGGCATAGCAAGGACAGCACCAGAATACATACCAACCTGCACGCACACAAACAGACACACCTCATCAACAGAGACAGCAACAACAATACAACTCTTATAGGTGGTGCTGATATTTTAAGACAGAATACCTAGAGCTTAGGGGCTGATGGGATATGATGTCCCATGGATACTCACAGGAATTAATGTCCTGAATGGAGTCTAAGAGGCCAGTCTTCCAGCCCTTCATAGAAGAGTCTTTCTAGTTTCAGTCATGATCCAATTATTAGACCAGATAGTGGGTTCTCAGGGCTGCCAACTTTTGAAGAAAGCTTGGAATGAGATTTGCTATGTGAATATCATTGCCCCCTGGTACAACCCCTAGACGGGAGACTGGGGCTCCTCCCCCAGGAAATATTACTTGTTTAATGCTCATTTCCTGCAATTCTACATATTTTGAAAAGCCTTAGGCTTATGACCAGGGTGGATTTTTTTTCTTCTTCTAAACCACAGGTCAGGTGTATTTAGCATGCTTTGAACATTAAACGAACACTCAAAATTCTACGACTTTGATACTTTTAGATTTTCCTGGAATGAAATTTAAAGAATGCAAAAAATAATGGTTTGACGCTTTATTCAGACAACAATGAAATAGGGACACAGGCAAATGCTAGAAAAAGTGGGAAGCAGGGATTGATCCCTGTTCTCATGTGGAAAGTTATATGCAACACGTGCCGGGGAGTGTTACCACAACACCAAGGCTCTGCACAGAGGAAGGCCCTCAAAATTGTCAAAGACTCCAGCCACCCTAGTCATAGACTGTTCTCTCTGCTACCGCACGGCAAGCGGTACCGGAGTGCCAAGTCTAGGTCCAAAAGACTTCTCAACAGCTTCTACCCCCAAGCCATAAGACTCCTGAACAGCTAATCATGGCTACCCGGACTATTTGCACTGCCCCCCCCACCCCATCCTTTTTACGCTGCTGCTACTCTGTTAAGTATTTATGCATAGTCACTTTAACTCTACCCACATGTACATATTACCTCAACTACCTCAACTAGCCGGTGCCCCCGCACATTGACTCTGCAACGGTACCCCCCTGTATATATAGCCTCCCTACTGTCACTTTATTTTACTGTATATATAGCCTCCCTACTGTCACTTTATTTTACTTCTGCTCTTTTTTTCTCAACACTTTTTTTGTTGTTGTTTTATTCTTACTTTTTTTTGTTTAAAATAAATGCACTGTTGGTTAAGGGCTGTAAGTAAGCATTTCACTGTAATGTCTGCACCTGTTGTATTCGGCGCATGTGACCAATAAAATTTGATTTGATTTGATTTGATTTGAAATGGTTGATTGCAGTGGGTAACCAAATCATAGATTGCAGTCTACTTGTCCGCTTTGCACACAATTGGCATTCTCTCAACCAGCTTCATGAGGTAGTCACCTGGAATGCATTTCAATTAACAGGTGTGTCTTGTTAAAAGTTAATTTGTGATATTTCTTTCCTTCTTAATGCGTTCAATCAGTTCAGTTGTGTTGTGACAAGTTAGGGGTGGTATACAGAAGATAGCCCTATTTGGTAAAAGACCAAGTCCATATTATGGCAAGAACAGCTCAAATAAGCGAAGAGAAACGACAGTCCATCATTACTTTAAGACATGAAGGTCAGTCAAGAACTTTGAACGTTTCTTCAAGTGCAGTCGCAAAAACCATCAAGCGCTATGATGAAACTGGCTCTCATGAGGACCGCCACAGGAAAGGAACACCCAGAGTTACCTCTGCTGCAGGGGATAAGTTCATTACAGTTAACTGCACCTCAGATTGTAGCCCAAGTAAATGCTTCACAGAGTTCAAGTAACAGACACATCTCAACATCAACTTTTCAGAGGAGACTGTGTGAATCAGGCCTTCATGGTGTAATTGCTGCAAAGAAACCAATACTAAAGGACACCAATAAGAAGAAGAGACTTGCTTCTGCCAAGAAACACAAGCAATGGACATTAGACCGGTGGAAATCGGTCCTTTGGTCTGATGAGTCCACATTTGAGATTATTGGTTCCAACCGCCGTGTCTTTGTAAGATGCAGAGTAGGTGAATGGATGATCTCGGCATGTATGGTTCCCACCGTGAAGCATGGAGGAGGAGGTGGGATGGTGTGGGGGTGCTTTGCTGGTGACACTGTCTGTGATTTATTTAGAATTCAAGGCACACTTAACCAGCATGGCTCCCACAGCATTCTGCAGCGATACGCCATCCCATCTGGTTTGCGCTTAGTGGGACTATAATTTGTTTTTCAACAGGACAATGACCCAACACACCTCCAGTCTGTGTAAGGGCTATTTGACCAAGAAGGAGAGTGATGGAGTGCTGCATCAGATGACCTGGCCTCCACAATTATCCGACATCAACCCAATTGAGATGGTTTGGGATGAGTTGGACCGCAGAGTGAAGGAAAAGCAGCCAACAAGTACTCAGCATATGTGGGAGCTCCTTCAAGACTGTTGGAAAAGCATTCTAGGTGAAGCTGGTTGAGAGAAGGCCAAGTGTGTGAAAAGGTGTCATCAAGGCAAAGGGTGACTACTGTGACAATCCTCTTCAAGGTTAGGAGAGTTTGTACACAAATTCAGTGGGAGACCGTCACCAAAATCATCACAGTGATAGTTATTTCGAACAGGACAGTACCTGTATGTTGGTTTCTCCGTCTTGGTCCACCCAGGCCACAGGCGTGGTCGAGGATATTAGTGTTCGATACACAAATCGGGTTCTCGGTAGGTCCAGGTCCAACAGCCAACTGGTAAGTCCAAACAGTCCAGGTCATACACGGTAAATCCAGCCGATATATATTGTCACTTTTCTCTTTTTCTGTGGTTCACAAATCCAAAGCCACTTCCTCTCTCTCCCCCTTCCTGGTTTGTCTTGACCCCTTATATGTGGGTCGGCCCCACCTTGTTGTTTTTGGCGGTCGGCCATTTTGTGATCTGTAGTTCTTGTCGGGCTGGCCATTTCAGTGAGAGGGCAGAGCCCGTATATTAGTTCTGCCCTCACATATCTGCCATGTAACACTCTGCCCCCTTCTTTGCCACACTACTTTGAAGATTCTAAAATATAACATATATTTTGATTTGTTTAACACTTTTTTGGTTACTTCATGATTCCATATGTGTTATTTCATAGTTTTGATTTCTTCACTATTATTCTGCAATGTAGAAAATAGTAAAAATAAAGAAAAACCCTTGAATGAGTAGCTGTGTCCAAACTTTTGACTGGTATTGTACTTAGCAACTACTTATCATGTGAGCTAACACTTCCCCTAACACTAATCCTAAACTTCACAGTTTTAGCCAAACCTTCCACTAAACTTAACCCTTTAACCTAACTCCTAACCTTAACCTCTAACCCTAACCTCTAGAGCTAGCTAACGTTAGTGTTAGCCACCTAGCCTCCTAGCAAATGTTAGCCACAACATAGTTACATCTTCGACATCAGCTAAGTAAAAACCATGAAACTGCTATACAGTTGGTTATTTTGGGTTAGGGCAGAACTCATTGAATCTAGCCCTTAAACTCATCCAAATGCTGCCAGGAAAGTACAGCGTAACACAATAGTGGCCTACTGTTGGTTCCTCATTCACATTCCTTAATCATGAAGCACAATAAATATGTCTGGGTTTGATGCCATTCCATTGGCTCCGTTCCAGACATTATTATGAGCCGTCAACCCCTCAACAGCCTCCACTGGCAGGTATGCAGGCTACTTAATAGAAAACACACACCTGCAAAACCTGATTGCACAATGCTTGAGGGATTTTTTCCAGGAATGAGAAAGTGTTACAAGTGGCATTAGCTTAGTGATTTGAGCATAAGATAAGAGCGTCTGCTAAATGACTAAAATGTAAATGTAAAAGTGCTTTACTAATCAAGTTCATCTTTCAGATCAGTTTCCACTGATACAAACTCAAATGTATATAGTTTTATTGAGAGGGCATTGTGGTGTAATATTACATTTGGACACACTTTATTTAATGTTCTGTCATAAGGTTGTCATAAACATAAGCTGTTTGTGCCAATTTATGTCACATCTCTCCCATAAATATGTTACGATGCATGATGTTTTATCATCATTCAAACGATCCAACAGGAAACACAGAAACAAGGCCTAACAAGGAACCAAGGCCAAGACAACATCTTCAATTTCTATTAAATTTGTTCCTGGCATGAACATAGTATGCAAATGAGAGGGTTGAGTAACAGTGACTAACATATGATATTGCCATTCAAAATTAATGGTAACTCCATGGCAATGGAGAGAAACATTAATTTAAGAAACATTGGGAAACAATTTCCTTCTAAGCTCCTAAGGTGTTATGCAATCATGGTCAGAGAATGGACCCTATGCTGACCATTGATGACCAATGTTCCCTCTAAGCTGCGTGCGAGCGTGGGTGCGCAGCTCCCCAGGACTGCTGCACAGAAGAAATATCAGTCTGCACAAAGAAGAAGAGCTTGAATTTCACACAACTTTCAAGAGTTTTCCCTGTTAATTAACACTATCAATGGTTCCCTTTACTGTGGGAATTGAGATCGAATCAACGCAATATTAGCCACTTTCAAGGCAACATACCAAAACAAAATGAACTATGCAAGGCTTAGTATGCAAAACTAACTATGCAAGAGATTTAGTTGTAGGCAGAAGGATTCTATTGCATTGACAGACAGGACTCAGGCCTGTACTCTACCCAGACCGGTGTGCCATAACCAATCAGAGCTGCAGTAGGCCTATATTCAAATAGACTATTGCCATATATGGATCTGTGCAATTACATTTTAGTCATTTAGCAGACGCTCTTATCCAGAGCGACTTACAGTTAGTGAGTGCATATATTATTTAATTTTTTCATACTGGCCCCCCGTGGGAATCGAACCCACAACCCTGGCGTTGCAAGCGCCATGCTCTACCAACTGAGCTACAGTTTGAACTGGACTGTTTTTACAGCATAAGCAGTCTGAGTAGATGTGCTTGTTTTAAGATCAAAGTGAGAGCTACATGTAGCAACGTGTGCACATTTGTACATTTGTTCATATCCTTTGCTAGTTAGTGAATTATTAGCATAGTCATAGATAATTTAAAGTCAACAATGGGGGCGTGATTGCTTCCTACAAGAGCACAAAACGTGTGCATTTCTAGACATCTTTGAAAAGCGAGTCAGATAAGAGCTTTTTTTGTCTTAAAGCGGGGGTGTTGTGTTTTGAGACAGGTTTGAATAAGCTAAGTAGCCAATAGGCAGAGGGTAGCATAATTTGTCTGATTCTCTGTAATAATGATATGGGAATAATTCTGCATTTTATTTTGTAAAGTGGTTTCTTGCATCAAACAACACAACAATGTTTTCAGTCACCTCCAACACAACAACATTTCAGTCACCTCCTTGTCTGAAGGACAAATGGATAAACAGGTTTATGTCAAGCCCTGCATCAAAAGTCTCATGGAATGTAGGCCTACATTGAACACCACACATTGGCTGCTACTGTAGGCTGAACGATAGAACAGCTATTTTCATGTTAAAATGTTATGGGATGCATTTTCTCCATTGTTTATGATGGTAGGCCATTCTGGTAGGCCTAGATTATGTTCAAATAGCCACAGTAGCCAACTTGGCCACTGTTAAAACTAACTTAAAGTGGGTACAGCCTCAGTGTTCACAGTAAACGTGCGCTGGAAGTTGCACAGAATTGTCACAACGTTCAAGTTTGTGCTCAGAAGATCTGAAATGGGCACTGATGAGCAGCTGGTGGCGTCTCCTGATCTCCTGTGCCATCTGGCACCAGGAACAGATGTTAAAGAAGGTGACAAAGAGACAGTCAGAAATGAGGTCTCCCTGTAGATACAGACAGAGGTTGATGTATCAGGTTCTGTTTTCTCTGGAATCAGTGATTTCGTACCTTGGTGAAGGGTGATGTAAAGTATACAGTGGGGAGAACAAGTATTTGATACACTGCCGATTTTGCAGGTTTTCCTACTTACAAAGCATGTAGAGGTCTGTAATTTTTATCATAGGTACACTTAAGAACTTAATATTTGGTACAGAAACCTTTGTTTGCAATTACAGAGATAATACGTTTCCTGTAGGTCTTAACCAGGTTTGCACACACTGCAGCAGGGATTTTGGCCCACTCCTCCATACAGACCTTCTCCAGATCCTTCAGGTTTCGGGGCTGTCGCTGGGCTATACGGACTTTCAGCTCCCTCCAAAGATTTTCTATTGGGTTCAGGTCTGGAGACTGGCTAGGCCACTCCAGGACCTTGAGATGCTTCTTACGGAGCCACTCCTTAGTTGCCCTGGCTGTGTGTTTCGGGTCATTGTCATGCTGGAAGACCCAGCCATGACCCATCTTCAATGCTCTTACTGAGGGAAGGAGGTTGTTGGCCAAGATCTCGCGATACATGGCCCCATCCATCCTCCCCTCAATACGGTGAAGTCGACCTGTCCCCTTTGCAGAAAAGCATCCCCAAAGAATGATGTTTCCACCTCCATGCTTCACGGTTGGGATGGTGTTCTTGGGGTTGTACTCATCCTTCTTCTTCCTCCAAACACGGCGAGTGGAGTTTAGACCAAAAAGCTCTATTTTTGTCTCATCAGACCACATGACCTTCTCCCATTCCTCCTCTGGATCATCCAGATGGTCATTGGCAAACTTCAGACGGGCCTGGACATGCGCTGGCTTGAGCAGGGGGACCTTGCGTGCGCTGCAGGATTTTAATCCATGACGGCATAGTGTGTTACTAATGGTTTTCTTTGAGACTGTGGTCCCAGCTCTCTTCAGGTCATTGACCAGGTCCTGCCGTGTAGTTCTGGGCTGATCCCTCACCTTCCTCATGATCATTGATGCCCCACGAGGTGAGATCTTGCATGGAGCCCCAGACCGAGGGTGATTGACCGTCATCTTGAACTTCTTCCATTTTCTAATAATTGTGCCAACAGTTGTTGCCTTCTTACCAAGCTGCTTGCCTATTGTCCTGTAGCCCATCCCAGCCTTGTGCAGGTCTACAATTTTATCCCTGATGTCCTTACACAGCTCTCTGGTCTTGGCCATTGTGGAGAGGTTGGAGTCTGTTTGATTGAGTGTGTGGACAGGTGTCTTTTATACAGGTAACGAGTTCAAACAGGTGCAGTTAATACAGGTAATGAGTGGAGAACAGGAGGGCTTCTTAAAGAAAAACTAACAGGTCTGTGAGAGCCGGAATTCTTACTGGTTGGTAGGTGATCAAATACTTATGTCATGCAATAAAATGCAAATTAATTACTTAAAAATCATACAGTGTGATTTTCTGGATTTTTGTTTTAGATTCCGTCTCTCACAGTTGAAGTGTACCTATGATAAAAATGACAGACCTCTACATGCTTTGTAAGTTGGAAAACCTGCAAAATCGGCAGTGTATCAAATACTTGTTCTCCCCACTGTATATGCATGCTCCCCCTCTCTCTTTCTCTCTAGAGTGAGAAAGTAGTGGTATCCACATAAACACAAACTCACATTTAGTAGATCAGGAGGAAATACCCTAACATGTCAGAAAATCATCCTAATGTGTTCCACAGCTCTGGTGGGAGAGGAAATGGAGGAGAGGGAGTTTGAGTTAACACAGCTATTGTTCTCCATTTAGAACTACAGTCTAATCCCTCATTGGGCAATAGCCCCTATAAACTGGCGAAACCCTAGATCCCTCTCTGAGTGTGTGAGCCATTTCTTGCCAGCTAATTAGATGAACAGTTTCACCAACGTGAGGATTTGCAAAGTACTTAACAATTCCTGCCTCTAAATGTTTATGTAAACACGTTTCTCATTGTTTGTCATTGACAACTTTTTCATCTAATTGATCTTGTACACAGTCTATTCTATTAGACCCAGATATTTTATTATAAATGAAGTAACATTCCAATAGAAGAGAAACTCAAAATAAATGACTTTATTACATGTCAAGACAATGAGCAGTGGTCATTACCATCAAATAGACCTCAGTCTATAAATCATATAAAAACACATTTTCATTCATCTAATTCATTCATTGACTGTGAACATTACAGCAAGGCCAGCTATCAGAAAGTGATTAGATGAAGCAGTAGAGCTCAGCATTTGTAAGGTTGGGTGGAGACAGTGGTGTTAACCAAATGGTTAGACATATCATCAGGCATCATGACAGCAGGGTTACAGGCATAATGAGCAGAAGCCACGGCATGTTGGTCAGATGCCATATTCATATGAGCCCCTCCGGCAATGCCAGGGGGCCCTGCCATCATACCAGGTTGCATCTCAGCCATACTGGAGGACTGTGGGCTGGTCATGACGTAGCTCTGTTGGTTGGGGGACTGTGGGCCGGTCATGACATAGCTCTGTTGGTTGGTCGCGTACGTCACCTTTGAGGTGGTCATGGTTGGAGGCTGCATTTGGATGGCCACAGGCTGGGTGGGTATGAAAGGGCAGCTCTTCTTGTGCTCTTTGATCTCCCTGGCCATCTGACACCACGAGCACCAGACACAGAAGCAGGATGCCATGATGTCCTCACAGAGGCTACTCTGTGGACCCACACAGACACACTTGTTTAACACTAGAATACACATAATACCACAGTTTAACAGAATACACATAATACCCCAATCACAACATTTGTATCTGCAACAATAACATTAATGTAATGGGAAACAATACACCTGAATGCCATATTTGTGGCGTACAGCAACCCGCATGGACAGACTTGCTGGTGGCACAATGATGGGCACCCCAAAGGCAACCATGCAAGCAGGGCCAATGATGTCCAGTAATGGCAGACAAGTACTCTCTCCAAACTCTCCCGTGGTGGAGCAGGCTAAGCAAGGACAGCACCAGAAACCATAGCAACCTGCACACACACAGGCAGACACACCTTATCAACAGAGAGAGCAACAACAATACAAATCTTAAAGGTGGTGGCGATATTTTAAGACAGAATAGCCTGATTTTAGGGGCGGATGGGATAAGATGTCCCATGGATACTCACAGGAATTCATGTCCTGACAGCAGTCAAAAAGGCCAGTGTTCCAGCCCTTCATAGCAGGTGCTGCCACCTGTTGATTGACTATGATGTTTGCTGCCATGGTGATCAGACCTGCCTGCAGACACAATGAAAAGGAAGACATAGCACTCACATTAGTAGTTTATTCGTGGGGGGAAATGCCTCAGCAGTGTGCTTCTAAGATCTAGCTGAATAATAAAACTGGCATCAAGCTTATGCCTATACTTGTTGGCTACACCGTAAAAACATAAAAACTAGTTCCACACCTCTTTTGACTTCACCCAACGTTTTGGGCAAAGTGTTGCATGCAATTCCCATTTTGAGTTGACCAAAAACTGAGTCAATGAGACAAGTTGGGAAATATCAAGTGATATTGACAGATGGCGTTTGTTAAATTAGTGTAAATTAGTGTTGTTCTTAGGGTTGTACGTTGACTTTTTGTAGTTTCTGTCATGATCCAATGACTGGACCAGATAGTGGGTTCTTTCAAATCTATATTGACTAACCAAAGACCAGATAAAAAGGTACAACAATCTTACTAATTATGAAAACAAATCCACATGTTTTGCTGTATCTGGTGAAATGGATGATATTTTAACCTCTGAAAAATATGTTTTAATTGTATACATGTCCTTGACAAGTACTTGCTGAAAGGCACACTGGGAAATATGTTAATGAGAACAAATGTATCTTAAGCCAACACAGTACTTTATGTTGTGGGTCTCAAGAAAACTAAACTTGTTGTGTGATCAACTCAACCATTTGTGTTGCAAAGACACAAATTGCAAAGTTCACAGAAAACAAAAAGGCTGCGGTTCTAGTTACTAAAACCTTTTGAGTTGGGCCATCTCTGATTTATTTTAATTTTTACAGAGTTCAGACCTAGACCTAGATTCAATCAGTTCCAGCGCTAACCAATGATAACCGACAACTGCATAACAGTTTCATTGTTTTTGTTCAGGCGATGTTGAAGTTGTAATGGCATTGGAGCTGCCAAATCGGTGAGCTGCCGCACCCGTCCTTAAATCCCACCGACGTTAGAAGATCAGAACGAGAAAGTTTAGGCTATATAGACATAATGACACTAATACTGAAAATCTTTAATTGAAATAATAAGGATTCATATCACCCTAATCGAGGTATAGATTACAACACATATTCTAGTGTTCGAACTTGTAACAAGGCTTCTTGCTGATTTGACAGCTCCAACATAGTTACACCTCCGACATCGGCTAAATAAAAATAATGAAACTGCTCTGCAGTTGTTGGTTATCGCGTGTTAAGACAGAAAGATTAAAATCTAGCCTGTAACTCATCAAAATGAATGTACAGCGTGACACAATAGTGGCTTACTGATGGTTCCTCATTCACATTCCACCTGTAACCCTGTAAAGATATGACCGACTGTTCTGTAAAATAACTACGCCCTTTTCACCAATTTCACACCATTATCCATTGTTATCAGCATTTATTATCTATTATTTATAGTTTTTATTAGAGAGAAAGACATTTTCATAAAAAACATAAGGTTTGGATGTATATAGCCTTTCTTACCTTTCCAACCTTTTCGAATGCTGAGATTTATTTGTAGATTATTTTTATAGTTTTTTATTATAGAGAAATAATATTTTCTTTAAAAAAACAGGCTATGTAGATCCACAAATTCTTACATGTGCACCCTTTTCGAATGCTGAGAGAGAATGACAGAAGGTGACGTGGACTTAATCATGAAGCACAATACATGTGACTGGAATGTCGGCAGGTATGCATGCTAGTTAAAATGGAACTGACAGTGTTTTAACAACATTCGATCTTTTAAAATCTGTTCATATACACCCCCAGGAAGAATATGACATTAAAAAAAAACATTTTCTGACAAGCGAGCACTTAGATATGGTAATTTTCAGGATTTCATAAATTCATAGAATGTTTTGGAATTACGAATTAGTGTATTAGTGAAGGAATGAGTGAAAATTCTATAGCAATATAGAGTGGGAAAGTGGCAGTGTATTTAGACAATTAATAGACACTGCAGTAAATTAAACCTAATAAAAACATCTGCCTTGTCCAGGAACAGAGTCTACATAGACTAGTGCGCCATAGCCAATCAGAGCAACAGTAGGCCTTTAGGGGTAGAGGGCAGGTATACAAGATGGCGTATTGAATACACAGTGGTACAGATGATTTATGCTTTTCACCACAGGGACTGGTAAGTGTGGAAAGCGACCTGTTGAAGTTGATAAATGACAAACTGGGCATACTAGAGTTGGTCAGTAATTATGTAAAAGAGTTGAAGGCGAGTCTTGAAATGAGTGACGGAAAAGCTGCGATAATGGAGAGCGATACAAAAAAACTAAAAGGGGCAGTCACTAGGATGGAAACTGACGTTAAGGAACTTAAAAAAGGAGAACAGCTTTCTGAGAGAAGCCTTACTAGACATACAAACTAGATCGATGAGAGAAAATCTAGTACTTACGGGTATCCAGGAAAAAGAGGGAGAGATTACAGAAAAAATTGTGAAGGACTTCTTTCTTACAGCGCTTCAAATTCCACTCGAGGCTGTCGACAAAATCCAACTCGAACGTGTACACCGTTTCGGACAAAGAGGACAGAGATATGAGCGTCCAATCGTTGCCAAATATGCTTTTTTTAAAGGATAAAGTAATGGTTAAAAGCCTAGTAAAATACTTGCTGGCACGAAAATAGGCATGAATGATCAGTTCCCGAAGGAGATTGCAGAACGGCGCAAAATTCTGTACCCAATCTTCAAGGAAAATAGATTAAAAGGGAAGCGTGTTGCTCTTGTTGTCGATAAACTGTATATTGACAACCAAATGTTCCGCGACACAAAGACTACTCCATGGCTATTCTACAAGTTCTAATAGAGTAGTCGAATAATAGAACACCCAATACTAGCCATGGTAGGGATTGTAATAATAAAACACATTTATAATATTTCATAAAGGGATAAGACGGTATTACAAGAAAAGATAACAAGCAAAATAATAAATCTTCAAATGCAACTAAATTAGAACACAAGTACTCAATCAACATAGTGGAGATAAAAACATAGCAAACAGAAGACATAGAAGGCACAGTCTGTGGGTATGTGTGGATGTATTGTGATGGAAGGTGTGGTGTGCGTTTTTGTGTTTGAATAAGTGTGGCGTTAAGTGAGTGAGAAAGGAAATGGTTGCATATCCCAAAACCAACGTGTGTCTGTGAGCAGGGGTTGTGAGAGAGAGCTTTCAATTTTGTGCAGATGAGGGATATACATTTAAAAATATAGTTTACATCAATTTTTTTTTTGTCCTATCATGATGGAACGATCCCCAACCCTATATCCTAGACACCCACCTGAGTGACCCATACACCAAAGAGAAGTCCCCATCTATTTTATGGACCTGCTGTGAGTTGCCTATAGGCAGCCAAAACAGAAAAATAAATGCGGTCAGAGACCTACTTGAGCAGCACCGCCCCCTCAAGATTCTGAGCCTGCCTGGCAGGGTTGGTCCTACAAAGCCAGAGCCCCCTGGTGGGAGAGCATAATATACAAGGAAATTCTCAAAGCTGCTAATGAGAACCTTGACGACCTTGTACCTAGCCGGTGGGGATTGCGTTGTGGTACCCCCACCCAGGGAGTGGCAGTGCTGGCAACACTGGCTGCAGTAACCCATGGGGAGGGGGTCACACTCGGACAATCAGAGAGGGGGCTTATTATTGTGGCCCAGGTGGCACAAAATAATCAAAGGTCTGACTGCACTGAGATGCTTGGGGAAAATGGTTACAATGGGGGCCAGAGTGTTTGTGTCTCAGGTGAAGAGGGTGGATCTGATCTCCATCACCTAGGACTTGACATAGATTAAATAGATTAATCAAATCTCACATTGTTGTCAATTTTTGCTCAATCTTCCATGCTTTCTCAAACAGCTGTAACTGTATATGCATTCGTATATGCATTCGTAAATCAGGTCCTTTCTTGAGTTGGGTTCTGGGATGTAACATCCGTTGAGCATCTGATTTTATGGTTGATTGTGGAGGAAAGGGGTTGAGTGTGTTAGAGTATGTGCGTGTGTGTTTATCCCACATCTGTTGCAAGTGGGTAAGGATGTTAAGGAGAATATAGGATGAACCACAAGAATTGTTTGCTAAAATAATAATTGCTTGTCAAAAATGTAATACAATGGCAATCCGGGTTATAGGTTAAAATCCTATGCATGAACTGTCAACATTTGCAAGCATATTAATTGATAATGATGGAAAATAAGATATGCAAGATATTTGAATATATATATATATTTTTAATTAGCGGGGGAATTAGTGGCGAACAATTGGAGGGTTACTTAGTAGCAATGGAAATATCATGGTACAGTCATATGGACACGCAATCACTATGGTATTTTTTATTGGTAAATTTACAAACATATATAATGATAAATAGATTTGAAACTTGTATGTCATTATGGTATATGGTGAAATAAGTATAGCCACTTATAATTGTAATGGCTTAGCAGATAATAACAAAAGAATAACAATATTTACATGGCTCAAAGAGAAGGAATATAATATCTATTGTTTACAGGTGTCACGTTCGTTGTGTAAAGGATCAGACCAAGGTGCAGCGTGGTATGCGTACATAATCGTTTATTTTAATAAACACCTACAAAATAACAAAATCCAACAGAACGTGACGTTCAAGAGGCTAAACATCAAACGAGCCAAACAGAAACAAGATCCCACAACTAAGGTAGGCAACATGGCTGCCTAAGTATGATCCCCAATCAGAGACAACGACCGACAGCTGCCTCTGATTGGGAACCACACTCGGCCAACATTGAAATATATAAATTAGATTTCACGTGACAACAGGAAACTCATTCAACAATTCTAGATAAAGTTGCGTGGAAAGACAAATATACTTCTCCCATGGGCAAAGAAACTCAAAAGGGGTGATGATATTAATTAACAGTAATCTTGATCCGAATGTGCAAATTGTCCAAACAGATACGCAAGGTAGATAGATTATTTTAAATATGATATTGGACCATAAACAGATATGGTTCATTAACCTTTACTGACCAAACAATGATGATCCACAGTTCTTTGACAATATATATAATAAAT